TATTCAAATTCATCCATATCTCTTAGTTTGCTTAAATTTGTCTCAAAATAAGTCAAGAATTTCACTACAATTCACACAAAAAGTATTCATTCGTTGACTTCCTATCAAACATCGGAGGACTCATTAGTTTATGGTTTGGGTTGTCTTTCATAGATACCAGTGCTCTCATTAGACTCCTATTAATCCGCATTAAACTAATAATAAGAATAATATTAAATTTTTATTTATTTTCAAAACTTCAAATAATAATTAATAGATTAATAAATAAGCTTTTGATATACAAATGGAGAAGAATTTTTATCTTGATAGCAACACCTGTAATTTGTTATCAAATGTATGTATTAATTGATAAATATTTACAATTTTCGACGCAAACGACGATTGAAATGATTGAATACAAAAATATCCTAAATAATAGGATACCATTGAATTCACTACCATCGATTACTATATGCTATGAACCTGTTTACGAACAAATTCTATTTGACCCTGATGTTCGTAGATATTTTATAGATAATGTATTAAACGATAATAATGAATATAACCATGGTGAATGGAAATTCTACTCAAATTATTCCACAAAACACTCATTTCATTCAAACGATTCTTATATACAAGATATCATAAAATATTTTAACCATTACACCCACTTTGCATTTGTCACACTAAATTACAAATATAAACTTCCAAGTTTGAAAAATTATGATTTCCAAAATTTGCTGGATGTTAATACAAGGTATGAATTACAGCAGAATATAGTGCGGATTCACGAGAATCTCATTGATAGGACTCGTAATGACTTAGAATTCTATGGGAATATAAGCACCTGGGTTCTCGATCGACATTACGTTAAGAAAAACATGTTAATAAATATATTATCCCCATATGGCAAATGTCATACAAGTTTTTCAAGCTTATTTTTCAATTTAACAGCGTATGAATTTGGCAATGAAATATTGTATCTTGTTGATAATCCTCCATTTGACAAAAAGTCCAATAAAATTGATTATTTAATACGAAAATTTATACTCCATTCGCAAAACTCGTTGCCATTGTTGACGGATAACGTGATTGACGTCAAAGACAATCCAAACCAAGTGTTGACTACATATGAAATAATTCGCTACGAATTCCGACGTTTGCCGAAACCATACGACACTCAATGTTACGAATATTCCGCAAACGACACCCAATTTCTGTGTCTTAACAGATGCTACAAACATAGATACCTTGAACATTTTAAATGCATTCCCAAATATAATAGTCTGTTAACCATTCAAATATTTGATAGATATATTGAGCCAAATGTTACATTTTGCGGCAATTATTATATTAATAATAATCAAGAAATAAATATACATATTAAAGATATTTGTGTGACAAAATGTCCAGTGCCGTGCCTAGACAATATTTATAGCCATATACAAACAAATAATAATTTTAACATTGGTCGCACTAATCGAATCGGATACAGTTTTACATTGAACTCGAAAATGTACATGTCAATACAATATCATGCAACATACACATTTATTAAATTAGTGTTAAATATAGCCAACATATTAAGTCTATGGCACGGCATTAGTTTCATTGGATTCCTGATGGATATCCTATTATTTATAAATAGAAATTTTAACATCTTTAATTTTATGAATCTGAAATTAAAACATTTATTGCGGTTAAACCAAAATTTCACATTGCAAATATATTTTAAGGTTTGCAATATTTATATTTATTAAATTAATATAGTAGAGCAATTATAGTGTAATAATTGTACCTAGACTTAATGAAACATTTTAGGTAAAAATATTCTTTGTTATTTACTGGAATTTTTATCAGGAAACCTTGCTCGGTGAAAATTCCGTGTTAAACTAAATACTAAATTACACTAGCTCTATTTCATTGTAAATTCAAAAGATTAACTAATTAATATTTAGTATTAAAATTGTATTTATATTTCCAGCATTTATTCACATCAATATTGACAGCGATACTGATCCATCAATTATACGACATATCTGTGCATTACTTTAGCTATGAATCCATTGTCACGATTGACACAAAAACCTACGAAACCGATACTACCATCCCGTTTGTAACATTGATAATATCATATCACTATTTTCACCAAGCAGTTCCACGGTGTCCACCGAATCAACATCCTTTTGAATGCGAAATTAAATATACAAAACAAACCTTGTTCAAAAAGAATTTCCGAGACACCAAGATTTTTGACGGCTATTATGTGTACGGGAACAATTACAATTATAGTGTCAATAATATTACGTCGGTGGACAGTTTTGATAGGATTTCGACGCAAACAAGGACGTTTTTTATGAACGGGAAATATTTGTTTAATAATTTAGCAAATGATCAATATAGATTTATGAAAATCACACAATCCAAAAATGCAAATACATTATTGAATATTGTCATACATTCGGACGTTTATCATGATTCCAAAACGGTGTACAATAATTACTTCATGGGATTTAATCATACCTTGCTGATTAGAAAAACAATGTACACTTATCTACCTAAACCACATGGACACTGTAGTTATTATAAAAATGATCAAGCTCCATTCGACGCTATATCATACAAACACTGCGTTCGCCGATGTCGGAGATATTATTGGAAAAGACGATTTAAATGTTATATATTATTTCTAGATGATTTTCTATACGATTTAGATATTGAAAGTGATGAGGGTGAAGTATATTGTTATAAGACATCCAAAGATTATGATGTTATGTTCAATACAACTGTTAAATGTTTGAAATATTGTCCCAAAAATTGTGTGTCCGCTGAATATAATACGAGAATCATATCAAGCGATACAAAAATTGGTAACGAATTGTGGCATAAATTGAATGTTAAGAATAGGACGACAGAGAAAGCATTGGTTTGGGACTCGAGTCAACCCCTGTATGTCTATCGGGAGGAATCGGTTATGTCTCTAACAGACTATATGTCATATACTGGAGGACTGTTTGGCCTATGGTTTGGCACTAATGGCAAAGACTTTGTTATTCGTATAATTGAGAGTCGATTCTGGGTTTGGTTTTACACTAGATATCAACAAATGTTTCCAAATAATAGGATTCATGTCATTACTAATTAATTGTCCTTATGAAAATAAAGTTAACTCGATAGAATAAATATAAATTAATCAAATATTTTATTGATACCTAAACACTTACATTATATATAATATTGTATAATAATTAGACTTTATCACTAATTATTATCAAGTGCATCAAGTTTGTTTATGTTCAATAAGTTTTGTACAGTAAAACTGTATTTATCATAAATAACCTCGATAACCTTGAATTTTATAAGCACCTCTTATTTATCACAAATAAGTGCATCAAGTTTGTTTACACCATATTATATTATATAAATATTGCTAAATTGAATATGTAGCTATTATATTTAATAAGATATAGTAAATTTTAAAAGTTGCATAATTTAAATTCAATGAATGACCTTCATAAGAAATAGTATAAATACTAAACTATTAAATACTCAAATTATTGAATAGAAAGCATATAATTGTTATTTTAATGTGAATTAATTTTTACACTTTAAGTGATATTGTTTTAAATTAAAAGAAAATTAATTTTTAAAAATTAAAATGCTGTCAATACTACAAACGATACTTGAAATATCAATAATAAAATGGACACTGATTTCTACTAGTATATTTGGAATTTCATTATATTTGATTCTCAGGTAATCTAACAAGTATTTTTTACATTAATTACTTTATAAATTTAAAAGTTTAATTAATTACAGATATATTGACGGGAAGTGTGACTATTGGCGCAAACAAGGCGTACGGACAGCGAGTGTCAGTCTATGGACACGACTCACGAAACGGTGGTTCGATTGGGAACGGGATCTCTACGTCCGTAACGGCAAGTGTTTCGGTGTCTA